AAATTAATTTCAAGAAATACAAGTAATAATCTAAATATAAAATTACTGCAAAAGCAATTATCTTCTTAATTTTAAATAATAAATCATCAACAATGTTTTGAGGGCAAAAACCATAATCTATTTAATAATATTATTTTTTAATAATTTCTGTAAATTAAGAAATAAAATCGATTAAGAAACACATAGAATTTTGATTTCTGTATAATAAATTTAATCACTGGTCATATTTATTGTCATTTTATGTTAAAAACAATAGATACGAATTTAAACTGGTCATTAGCAAAATGTAATTTTAAGCAATACGAGTGACAATTTAAATATAAAAATACTAGAAAAGCAATTATTTACCACCCTCTCGCGTTTAAATAATAAATCAACCATGTTTTGAGGTACTTAACCATCTTTCTATTTACTAATATTATTAGCCATAATTTATGCGAATTAAGAGAAAATCTAAAAAGAAAAACGTATATTTAGATCGGAATCCATAAGAATCCATAATCATTGTTAATAGAAACATTTCTTAAAGTTTTATTTACAATTTTTCTAATTTTTGGCACCATGAACAGCTATTAGGGCTAATTATATTCTAGTAATCAAGCATATTAGAAATTAGTTTAAACTGATCATTAGCAAACTATAATTCCAAGAAATATGAGTAATAATTTAAACATAAAAAATATTAGGAAAGCAATTATCATTTCTCATTGGTAATAACCATATTTTGTTTACCAATGTTATTAATAATAGTTCAGGTGAATTAAAAAATAAAAGTTAGAAAGAAAAACACAGAACTTATATGGACAACCATAAGGTAATCATCGGTAATAGAAACCCGATCTAAAATTCTATTTCTAAATTTCCTGTACGATTACCAGCACATTAGGGCTAATTATATTCTAATAACCATAGCTGGGCACCGTTAATCAAATAGTTAACTTCGTTAATCGTTAATCCGCTACAAAAAAAGTTAACTTCGTTAAACGTTAAAGCGTTACATTTCGGAAGAATTAACGCAAGTTAACGTTAATCGTTAATCCGTTAATATGTGTAAAATTACATTTTTATATCGTTGCGTTAGTGAACTTAAAAAACTTATTAACTTCCCGTAGGGCAAGTTATAGTAATCGCAAAAAAATCGAAAATGAAAATTTTTGCATTTCTCGACGTTTCAAAGGTTTCTGAATATTTTGGCATACCTTAGAAAAAATGAATGTATGTGTGTGTGTATGTATGTGTATGGATACAAATTTTCGTCGACGATTTCGGGAACACGGATCAACCGATTTGAATAATTCAAAAAACATTCGATTCGTATTGACAAGACGTGCTGATTAGTTTTTGGCAAAGGCAGGTCTAGCCGTTGCGAAGATATGGGGCAAAATTGACCCAAAAACGGTAACTCAGTTTTTAAGAGAACGGAGCGTCCGATTTTAATAATTCAAAAAACATTTTACTTGTATTGACAATTATGAAGAACTGATCAATTTTTCATGAAGGCAGGTCTAGCGGTTTCGGAGATCTAATGAAAAAAGTAAAAAAAAATGCCATTTGGCGGTCAAAATGATCATTAGACATATGCACATCAAATTGTCAGATATTTTATAGAGATTTTAACAATAAGTTGTTTGCATTCCTTTAGGTTCCGTACCAATGTTTATTTGTTAGACGGCGACGCGGCGCTTACGCGCTTTATATTTTGTCTCTATGCAGTCCTAAAGCAGTAAAATTGCTTTGAAAAAAAGTTCAGATCTTCCAAAATATGTCAAAATAAAGAAAACATTTTTTTTTGCAAGAAAAAATAATTTTTTGTCCAATAGTTTATAGTTTCTCAAAAATCTTATTTTTTCGAAGTAAATTTTTTTCAAAAATGTTAATCGTTTTTAAAAAAATAATAATTTTAGGTACGGAAAGTATCAGCAATTTGCCTTAAGGCACAACTCCTTAATTGCCTTAAGACAGAATTCCACTTACAGCTAGTTCTTTAAAGAGTTTGTAGCTCTTTGGTTTTTCTATAGACTGAGTGACAGAATTGAAAAAGTCTTCCTTCTCGTCATCATCGTTGTTACCCGCATTGCTCCCTCCGCCACTTAAACTATCTCTGTCCTTCGAATTTTTTGCTACTTCTTGCCATAAGGCATCTTCTACCTTTTTTTCCGTGCAATTTCTTACTGCATTCCTCTCTACTGCTGTCATACGTTCCCAGCCACATTAACCGAAACTTTGGGTGAAATGCCGCGGCAAGTTGGCACTGTTCATCATTCAGTAGTGGTCCAAATCTTTTCTCTATGCCATTTAATAAGGCATTGGCTAAAGCTGTGTCGTGCGGTAAATAGTAGGCATTGGATTAACGATTAACGGACTTCTTGCATTTTAACGGAAGTTAACGTGTCCGTTAACATTTTTAAAAGTTAACTTAAAAGTTAATCCGTTAATCAAAATGTTAACTTCGTTAATTAACGATTAACGGATTAACGAGTTAATGCCCAGCTATGCTAATAACCAAAGTTATTAGTTTAAACTGACCATTAAGCAGAACGTAATTCCGTAATACGAGTACCGACGAGTACCTACCTATCTGCTAAAACCTAGTTGCATTCAACCCATTCCAGCTATTTCGCATAATCACCGAATCGATGGCTATTTAATATATCATATAAACGGTTCGATTAGAAAATAGAAGTGGACGTTGTGTTTGAATAGAGCGACGTTTGAAGTGTGCGCTTTAGCCGGGCGCTGCGTTTGATGTCTCGGGTTAAAGCATTTATTTATTCTAGTTTTGGCTTTGCAGTTGAACCTGAGCCCTCTATAATCCACGGACGTAGTTGAAAACAAGGTTTCTAATACCCCTATTTTGGTTACGGGAGTTTAATTAGCCATTAGCCAACAGTTTGGGATGCTTCATGGATTATTTATTTATCTCATCCTATTATCTTATGAGCATGCTTCGATATTCAGTGATCGAATATTAATTTATAAATAATAGTAGTTAAAGACTAACAGTTAAAGAGGTTGTTTACCTGTACAACACATCACTATTTTTGGATGAATTGATATGACTTTTAATTTGACTACTAATGCTTCTGTAAAAATTAGTTTTATGAATATATAAGTAGTTCAAATTAGTGACATCACTGAAAAGTAACATCAAATGTTTTCACCAATTATTTTTAGTTTTTTATCACTAGTAGATTAAATATTAATTTGTTTGTAATTGGCTAATTGTAAAGTGTTCATAAATAAACTTTTGCTGTCATTTGTTAATTAAAGTAATTTGAAACATATTTTTTGTTGTTGTTTATAGGAAAAAACATTATCAATTAGATACCTATTTATCAAAAAACCTCGAAAACTGCATCTTAAACTACAACTAGTGGTGTATGGCATGGTGCCTTAAGGCGAATTGCTGGAGCTTGCCGTACCGTGATGAAATGTTCGAGGAATATTAAATGTTTTAAAATAAATTACAATAAATAAATACTTTTACATTGTCTAATATTTATAAAAATTATATAAACTGAATTGCACAGTTAAATTTTTTTATTTGAAGTATATAGTATAAGCAAGAATTAAAATTAAAATCTGAATTATTTTTGATATACAAAATTTTTTTTTGTTCCAAAAGCAATTGTTTCGTCAACACAAGCAAAAAGTTTTTTGAATCATCCAAATAATTCTCTGAAAAACTGCTATTTTTTGTACATTTAGCTCCGTATCTTTGAAACGGCTTGACATGCTTTTGCCAAAAACTAATCAGCACATCTCTCTATCAATAGGAATCGAAAATTTTTGAAACATTCAGATCAGTTGATCCGTGCGCCCGAAAACGTGAACGAAAAAATGCGAACATACTAAACACAGACACACACACATCAATTTTTTTGAGATATGCCAAAATGTTCAGAAACCTTCAAAATGTAAAGGTATGCAAAAAATTTCATTTTCGATTTTCGGCCCATTACTCTAACTACCCTACCTGTTCCATTGAACTTCCAAAAAATATATTTTGATACTGTTACTTTGGTAACTATTAGTTGTAGTAAATTTGAAATATTATAAAATCATTTGTTACTCATTTGTTTTATTAATTTTAGTAGAAATCAATTTTGATATTCAATATAATTTCATTAATTTCAAGCCAAATCGAAAAAAAAATAGTAATAGTAATAGTAATATCAATTATTTTTTAAGGTATTGTTTTAAGATTCAGTAATATTAATCATTTTGCAATACTAATCAAAAACATGAATATTTATTGTTTAGTAATAAATATAAACAGGCAATTGATTATGGAAGAAAATGATTAAATAATACTTATTAGTTTATAAAATTTAGTAAAACCATTTGAAAATTACTAAATAATTATTAGTAAGTTAGAATCAATTTAACATATTAACCATTTAGTAGTAACAATCATTTAGGTAATTACTTAATATTTAGTTGTTCTGAATATATTGCATAAAATACACTTTGCTATTTTCTACTTATTTAGTAATACCTACTATTAACTTCCCGCAAGAGAAATTTCAGATTTTGCCCCGAAAATTCGTCTTGCTAATTTTATAATTTATTTTAAGTCTCGTTCTAAGTCATTCTGAATCTTCTGAGATAAAAATTAGGTAAACTATGTGCGAAAGTATGACTGTGTATGTATGCGGGCTAAAATTGGACCTTTTTTCGGCTCTTTCTAAATTTTTTCTAAAGGTTTTAAAATTCTGGAGTCATTTAACGTAACGTAAAATAATTATTAAACCGATTTTAAAATTCCAAAAACTATCGATAGATATCAGTTAGAAATAATACTAACAGCTTATTAAGCATATTACACAGCATATTAAATTATTCAATATTAATTACAAAGTATAAAGTGATAGCAAACGCAGAAGCAAACATTCCTCTACATTCTAAATTCTACATTAAATTCGCTTTAAACCATCTGCCAAATGGCAAGAGTGGAATTATATATGAAACTTGTATACAGAAACATACTACTTGAATATTCAATCAACACGAAGATTAGCATCAGGCAAATCAAGCAAACAATCACAGCGTACAAGCATCAGAGGAAACCTTTCATATTTTAGGAGAAAGACATTATAATTAGTAACTTCGTGAGTAATGGATCTAGAAATTATGGATTTGGAAAAGTGTGGGATTATACATATGTGCACATATATAATTATTAATATTTTTTTAATATAAACACATTAACACTATATCATGATAAGATTGCAGACAAGATTAAAGTTTATCTCATCATGATTGTGTTATTATAACAAAAAGCATATAATATATGGATTTAAAATATTACATCAACAAGTGATTTTCTACTATTTGCATATATAGAGAAGTTTATGTAATTCTTTTAGAAAAAACCACTTAGTTTGATAGAATATGGTTTCAGTGATAGATGATATATAGTTTGGTATGATGTAAAAGCACATACAATATATCAAATAGAATAAATAAAAGAAAATAGTGTGATGGAAATAATGGATATTCTAAAGGTAAAACCATTATTTTAATATTATTATTGTATTTATCAAATTATGGTTTATATGTAAAATATAACCGCGCAAATCGTAGTGCAATGAAATCCACTATACACTAGTCTTTTATAATAATTATAAACACACACACAGATATATATATATATATATATATATATATATATATATATATATATAGTCTGCAAAGGTACTTTACATTCAGTAGTGTCAGCATTGTGACATTATAATTGTAAGCCGTTTTGCTTAGAAAATATGTTCACTAGCGTATTTATACCTATAAAATAAATATTTGTTCCACCCATAATTCTACTGACATCTACAATTATAGCTTATGGTAACTGTAAAAAGTTTGTTGTAAGAAATTATCTTTGCATATGTTTGCGCGATACTAGAATTTTACGGTACCAATATTTTTTTAAAAGCTTAGCTTTTAATTGAAAAGTAATTTCATACTAAATGAGCATTTTCAAAATTAATTTATGCTATAGGATATTACTTATTAGAAACTTTATCACAAAAGAAAAAATAAATGCTCTTCGAAGAAGGTAGTGCAAATGTATACGATCGCTCCACCGTATTTTGGTTCTAATATGTAATTATCGATACAAAGAAAATTATTTCAATTTAGTGTTTTGAAATATATATATATAATATATATATATATATATATATATATATATATATATATTCAATAGATAAGTCCTGGATTTTTTCAATATATTGATTGTTTCTTTTAGAAATTCTCTAGAAATCAAATACTTTCTCAAGTGCTACAAACTAAGATTAGAAGTTAACAAATTCATTTATTCGATTATTGCAAAGTAATTTGTAAAAGTGATAAGTTACACTATATGTTTTATATGTCATGTAAATTCAAAACAGCTTTCAGATAATTCACTTTAGTTCATAAACTTAACAGTTCTTAAATAATTATTATAAAAATATAAATTACGCCTAACGCACTATTCAAAATAATAATATAATAATGATGTATTTAGTAAATTCTAGTATATTTGATAAATAAAATAAAACCGAGACAACATGGTATATAAACAGAATAAACCAGCTTATATGTACATTCTACTATCAAACGTTATATAGAGCAAAAAAGTTTTTATAAACCGTTTTTTTTATAAACCATATAGTTTTAGTTTTAAATTCCTATGCGGCAATAAATTGCTGTACAAAATATTGGCATTTTACTATAATAGGTTTGGTCGTAATTATACTAAAACAACTTCCTGAAATGAGGTCACTTAATGTCACATAATTCGCCTCGCGCAAGAGCTTTAATGTTCTCGAGAGTAATAAAACATGATAATCGATCTTAAAAAAGCTGTTTCGTAAGCAGGTAGGTTTAATGGATCCTTATAGCTACTGCATTTGTAAATGAACATAACAACAAAATTTTATTTCGAAAAACATTTACAATACGGAATTTTACTCAAGCATACCATCACTTGCCCTGTTTACGAACAATTTGTCCATTTGTTCAGTTTGTAAAATAAAGCATTTTATAACAAGAATAATATCGGAGGTTTTACTCAAAAACAGTTCTTAAGAGACATCTATCGTTTCACTTGATATAATATTTTTTTAATAAAAATCGGTTATAAAGTATATATAGCAAGATCATAAAAATAAAATATACTAGTCCCCAATCACTAAAATATGGCTAGTGAAATCAAGAATATATATATTTGAGAAGGATTTACTTCCACTGGTAAGTTCAAAACTTAGTAATTTTTATTCAAATGCTACAAACAATAATAAGTATTGCTTGAATCTCTTTGCATTTCATTAGAAACATTTTAAGCCGAAAAAAATGAATATGTATCTATCTATAAATATTGTATTGTAACTTGAGAATACGAATTCGAATATTCGTTTTTACACAATATAAACGAATGAAATATGAAAAAAGAAGGGTCTTCACAAATTATAATTTATTAATTATTATTATATTATATTATTAATTAATTAATAATTATGTCCTTGTAAACATAATGAAATTTGTCAGAAGAAAACAACGATAAAATTGCCAAAGCAAATAAACAAATCCTGTCAAAAAATCACAAAAAAAACATCTTAATTTTCCACGTAGTATGTTTTACCGAGTCATTATTCAATTATAATTATAATAAAATAAATAAACTTTTCACAAGCAACAAAACTGAATTTACAAAACCAAGATAGCATTTAAATCGTTTCTGCAGGCACTGAACAATATTTTCATTCAACGAACGAGCAGATTTTTTATAAATTCGCATGAAAACAAAAATCTAAAAATTCACTAGCTCTCCGTTCACACCGAATGTGGTCTGAATCGTAGTTTTTAAAAGCCGGCGTCGTTTTTATAACCGAGTTAAGAGCAAAACATAACATTGGTATGTACCTGAAAGCTTTCTGGTCGATTCGCCGTATGCTGTTGCCGCTGAGCTTTAGCAGCTGCAAAGGCAGCGCAGCGAGTGCGTCTGATTCGAGCAGCAGCAAGTTGTTATTAGTCACTTCCAGGTGCGTAATGCGCTCATGGGGAAAAGCTGAAAAAGTAAATAAAAATATATTGAAATTATTGATGCAATAATTATTCTGAAAGCAATACTGCTAATAATAAAATTGGCCCACCAATCAGAGGAGAATAATAAAATTGGTATAGATGGACAACGTGCCCTTAAACGGCCAATCCCTATTTAAGTTTCACAATTAGGTCTATAATTTAATCTCATGTTGATACTGTTTCTAATTCTGACTTTTTAGACTAGAAAATTTAAATAGTTAGGAGCTATTTACCGTTTTTGACATTACCCACATATTTGACATAAACCACATAATTACCCACAATCTAACACAGAAAAACAGCTTTGTATTAGTGATAATTTTTACTTTAATGAAGATGATTTAGTATCCGAATAAAAAAGTAAATTTATTTGGAATCATTGGTGTTAATATAAACTCAATTTTCCTCGTCTCTATCACTGGAGTGTTTGTATATATATATATATATATATATATATATATATATATATAATAATAATAAGTATGCTTGTATATTAACTGGCTAAAGACATCATTGCAAATAGTATAAAAAATAAAGACAGCAAGTATAAGATAAACTGTTATAGCTGTTGACTGATATTGAAATTAAAAACTAAACTTTTTCATGTGGTATCAAAGTCTGTATGATTTCATCTTTTTGATTGCATTTTGTTTAGATAGCTGATACAAAAAAGATTGTGTTTCAAAATTATTTTATGCATAACTTTTTCAATAATTTCTCCATACTTCATATTTTTTTACAAATTATAGTGCGAGTATGTAAAGCCTATGAGAAACAAAGAGCAATATGTATTCACCGCAGGTCAGGGACGAAATTGCATTTATAATTTAGGTTCGATCCGTCGAAGTTGCCGGTTATTAAGGCCGGTCAAGGTATTAGTTGATGTAAGCCGGTGATTAATAAGGCATGAGATCAAATAAAAGATTAAATTTCAACTTCTATGTGTGCATGATATAATATGATATGAGACTGACTAAATATGTTTGAATTTAAAACAGATTTTAATTCTTTTACATACTTATTGTTCAAATAAAAAATACTATTTAATCAAATTTCTATGATTTGTATTAGTAACATCAACTATTGTTACTAAAATTATAATAAATATTATTCTTTAAATAAAACTGACACTCGCAAACAAGAAAAAAACATTTGTGGCAACGAATAGTACAAAGTATCTTGAAGATCTGCCATACTTTTAAATGTACATGATTCCTTAAACCGAGATTGAAAATTAATTTAATTTAGGACAGTAAGATTAATTACACAATAATAAATAGTTTCCACATCTTGAAAACATATATAAGAGAAATTGAGCTTTTTTTGAATGTAGACTATTAACCCGGTTAAAAGTCGAAGCCATAACTTATCACTTTAAAAAGCTAAAGCTAAAAAGCTTAGTGACAAAGATTAAATTGACTAATATTTATATTATAACATCATTACTAAAGCCTTCAAAACTAACAAGTATTAATTCAATATGCATTATAAAATGCTACTGAAAAAATTTTAAATATAAATAGATTTTCTTCAAGAAACATCTATACATTTTATAAAACATGAACTTTCAGATAGTCATGGTATTTAGAGCCTCAATAATATGTTTAATCTTCGAATCCTAACATTATCTTTTTGAAAACTAAAAGTTGTTTGGGTAATGTTGTCTATAATATAAACTATGACCTAAATATAATTAATATAAATAAAATATATGAATATAAATTATCTTTCAAGCAAGGGCTTGCTCATAGGTAAGAGACTAGAACGCCTGGATTTTAATGACAAGTTCCGGGTCCGATTCCGCATCGAGCAGCCTGTCATCAAGCAGTAGTGACAACGGTTTTCACTTGGAAATATAGATAACATAATGTTTTGAAGTGAAAATAGCCCTCATCCAGCATTGCTGCATCAATAAAATATTTGCCCTATTACAAAAATTGTAATAATATTTCATCACTGAGAGATAACAATTGTTTGGGTTGCCATCTGTAGAACTAGCTAGTCAAATTAGCACAACAGCTTATAGGACAGCTCTTAAATTCTGATTTTTGTTCAAAAATAAAAACAACATTTTATACAAAATAAATCTGCCAAAAAGTCTATGAAACTGGAAATCTTTGTGAATTAGAACAAGTTCATCCAAAACCTGGTATAGCAACTTTGTTAGAAGTTTTTTCAGACGTGATAGTATAATGTGTGTCAATCTAGGTAGGTCTATTACACAGTAATAACCGTAAATTCGTATGTCGATTTTGGAATAGTCGTGCTAGTGGGCGATTTCACATATAGCTGCGACACACATAGGTGGCTTCGTTCCCTATCTATAATACCTGCGCTATGCACAAATCAAATCAGGTAGTCGATGGAAAGCGCTCCTATAAAATGTATGCAATCGATCAACTGCGAGAAGATATTGCGCACTTATATTCCGCCCCAATAACTTTTATCAACGATTGGTTATGTGTATAACAAATTGCCTTACATTCAGTATTATAATATATGACTTTTGAGCTGCGATCGTCAAACTACTCCCGTAGAAAGGATTGAAGAAATCATCACATTCCTGGGATATATATATATATATATATATATATTATATATATATGTATATATTATATATATATATAAATATTTATATACAGCAAATGAAATCAATTAAGGGGAATTAATAATAATAGATAAATGATAAAAGTGGAAAGTATGTAATTCTTGAGCCTCTCCATATGAAGTAATGTCTAATGGCGGTTTCCGTGGAACCAAGAGGCGAGAGATTCCTAAATATTCAGACAAAAAACCTAAGTCTTTGTTTTTATTTAAATTAGTTTATTTTAATTCATTTTACTTAATAAAAAAATATAAGGTAATATGAATAAGTATATTTCGTCTTCAAGATATTTGTTTAGTTTATCCATATGTGCATTGAAGCAGCACATTCTCAAACCAACTTTCAATAACTTTTTTTCTCTATAAACTTGGAGTGGTTATTCTGTTAGCTGTGATTGACAAATATAGTCGTCATGGAGAGAAGTCGCATAATTTAGTATGTTGGCAAATTTGATTCTCATGGTTATAAATCAGTGATCATTGGCTATTTAAATAGCATTTTTTGAGAAAAATGAAGCATGTAAATCAATGCAAAAGTTTACAAACTTGTATAAAAATATATTTAGATATTATCCACTAAATATGAAACTAGATGTTTCACCATATGTTTCACTGACTATAGTGCTCCGTTTAGCTGAATATTACTTCAAATAAAGAGTTTAAACTTTTACTATACTTGTATAATATATAATTGTGTATGCACCATATAATTTTGTAACGAAATAAATCAATCCTTTTCATCCGGTTTGTTACAAGTAATTTGAAAAAAAAGTTAATTAGATAACATTTAAGCAAGAATACATCTATTAACATCATGAGGCTATCTTACATATTTTTATTTGAAGTTGACATTTAAGTTAGATATTAACGTATAATAGAAGGATTACAGTGACCAGTCTCGAATAAAGGGTGCATATCGATTTAAAACTGTTTTTGTTGTTTTATTTTCTCAATCAAAACTTTGAGGTTTTATAATAAGACTATATACATACACTGAGAACTACTTGCTCTCTTAGAAACTTCTGTGGCTTATTATTTCAGAAACTAAAGTGGTAATAAGTATGAAAATAAAATTAACTCGACTTTTTACGAATTTAGACCGTAATATATAATATTTTTTTATGTCAGGAATCGACTACAGCAATAAATAAGAATTGAACAAAGCTATATTGAAGCACTTAAAATGGAATAAAAGTTATTTGTACATGATTGCGTAAATATGTTTATTTGTTTAATTGTGACTCTAATAGATTTATATGACTAAAGCGTTGTAGTTACACAGGTTGATATATTTGCACAAGCACGTATTTCACAACCATATATTTACATAATAATATCAAACCTTCGTCGCTGTAATTTGTACTGAAATTAATAATATTATGCATATATCATATATCAAACGTATATATATATATATATATATATATATTATATATATATATATATATAGTAAAATATGTGGAATGATAACATCATGCGATTAAATACAAGACATCTTGAGATATTCAACATTGTTGATTACATAATCCAGGCTACAAAATATCACAACGTTTGACAAACAAATTAATTTTTTTGCAAGTCTTTGAATGGGTTATCAAGATAAAATAATACCTTGAAAGCTTTTGTTACAGATAAAAAGGTAGATAATATAGATGTCGCCTAGCCATAAAAAAAAATCAAGTAACTCTATGTAAACCACATATCAACTAAAATACTATATCAAATAAAATAAATTATATTTTACTGTAAACAAAATAGCTTTAGTTATAAATGTTAATACGATATTGTTATGATATCAATATCAACAATTTATTAATGAGGACCTAAATAAACCAACATATATATCATAATTTGAAAAGACAATTTGGAAACACATCATACTTTATTTAAATCAATCATAAATTGAGACGTTTTATAAAAAGTAATCTAAAAGACTTATTTCTATGATACTTGATATCACTATCACAAGTTGGCATAACAATTGTTTTGTGTATGAGAGGAATCGTGTACTTTAATCTAACTTATGTTTCGAAAAAAAAAAATTGAAAACCAACTGCAACTACTAAGGAAAAAACTTTAAATAATTTTTATAACCGGTGAAACAAGATATGATTAACAGAACTTATTCTATCTGAGCCAATTGTGATTCTGAGACATTTTTTGAATCAACTTAAGTAGACACAAATTCTTGATAATTCAATCAATTTAAAAGGAAAGTAAAAAATTATATTATATTAAATATGTGATGAATAAGTCTATTTTAGAACACTTAAGATATTATTTATTATAAGATTGCTATGATTTCTAATACCAGAGTAATTGTCCGACTAAATTACATCATTTATGTATTATATCAAATAAAATGAATAAATAAATAAA